GCTAAATTGACCAATCAGAGCGCGCGCTTTACTTTGGTTATGTTGTAATCCAGGTTAGGCGATTACAAGAAAAGTACAAGTACAAGGCTTCTGACATTATTTCAATGGATGAAACCCCAGTTTGGTGCGATATGTTATCAGAGACAACCGTTGACGCAACTGGGAAGAAATCCATCACTCTAAAATCGACCGGTCACGAAAAAGCAAGGGTTTCGGTCTGTCTCGCTGCGAAGGTCGATGGAACTTAACTGAAACCTATACTGGTATTTAAAGGAGCAAAGCAAGAAGTTGCAGCTTTAAAACAAAAATTCCAACATCGAGCAGTTGTTGCATCGTCAGCAGATGGATGGATGGACACTAAGTTAACCAAGATCTGGGTTGACTCTGTTCTTGGATCATTTTCATTCAATCGCAGGCTGTTAGCCTGGGATTCCTACGAATATCACATGGAAGATAGCATCACTGAGTCATTGAAATCTAAGAAAATTGATCGTGTAGTTGTGCCTGGAGGTTGCACTAAATACATTCAGACACCCCACGTCAGCTGGAATAAGCCCTTTAAGTCCCCGTGCACAGAGAAGTACGATGAATGGCCGGTAACAGTTGGAATTAATGAAGAAACTGCCGCTGGAAATCTGAGAGCCCCGCCAAGACGAGCTATATTACAATGGGTTTTGGACGCTTGGGCTGAGCTTCCAACAGAAGTTATCAAACGGTCCTTCACAAGCTGTGGCTTGAACTTCCCTGTGGATGGCTCGAACGACGACACCATCCATTGTTTCAAAGAAGGGCAGCCATGCAGCAAGGGGAGAGCTATGCTGCAGACGCAATTGGATATCTTGAGGAAACAAGATGCAAATCCTTTCGCGTGCACAGATTCAGATGTCGAAGAGGCTTACCCTCCCAGGCGGGAGCTCGTAGATTGTGATAAAGAAGGAGACAGTGACATCGAAATTGACTGAACGTTGTAAATTGGTTCCACAACGATAAAGGAGTTCACTCTCACCGCTGATATTTTCGCTCTCGTTATCATGAAACGCTCGGGGTTTTTTCACCGCATGAATTTCTCTCGTAATTCTAGATTTACTCTCAGTTTAGCATCATTCCATAGGAAATTGACAGATAGAAAGTGTACCGTTGAATAAAAATATAGAAAAAGTAAATTTCTCTGCTACAATTATTAAAAAAGCGTCGCACTTGTGGCGCGAAAAATTAAATAAGCGCCGCGGCGCTTATTCGAGTAAATACGATATGTCATTGTCGACTTTAGAGTGCTAAAGATTTATATTGTTTAGATACAGCTCAGCTTGCTAAAGCGCTTACATATTCTGCCTGTTAAGGAAAATATATTTTGGTTTCTCGACAGTTAAATAACTTTAGTTTACTTGTTCCCAAGTGAATCAAGATTTGAAAGATTCGTCTTGTATTAGGAGGTTTTTGCCAATTTGACAAGACATTGTAAAACCAATTTTGCGAGAAGTTTATGGCTGGTGCAGCTCAATGGACCAAGCAGAAAGGGTAAAAAAGACCAGAGGTTCAGGAAATGTTGAAATCTTCTCATAAAATGTATTTTATCTTTCAGGATGATGATGATGCCAGAAGAATGAAGAAATTTATTGTTTGAAATAAAGTGAATTAAATCTTCTACCGATGTGAAGAGGAAAATCGCGCTAAGGAAAGAGATGTGTGCGTAGAAAATAGTTGATTGAAAGATCTGTGCTTTTAAAAGGGCTAACCATAATTTGCGAAAAAAAAAACTAAGTCTTTTGGCGGGCAAATTTTTCCTTGAAAATAAAGGTTGCGGTTTTAAATTGTCTGGTTTTTAAAAAATATACAATTCTTTTGGCGGGAAAAATCGCGCATCGTGCGAATGATTTTCTCCCGCTTTAAGTCAAGTATGTATTTTTTTTCAAGACTAGACTCTGTTCAAATCCGCTGAATTTTTTTTCTATTCGGCAACCCTCCATACGCAAAAAAAAGTAAAAGAGAGAGCCTATCTATTGACTTGTTACCAGGCCCTTTTAAAAGCGCCGATTTTTTTAACCCACTGTATGCGTATGAAAGACAATAAAGAGAGAACAAAAGACAGTGGTGGAAATATTTATTTGTAACTTTATTGAATACTATTCTTCATGAACACATCAATATGTTTTTACAGTAGTTAATAAGCTTAAGAAAAACCAAAGAAACTTGCAGATTTACAAAAATAAACAGTTTGATTTAGAAAAATGCTGGCTTCTATTGAAAAAATTTCTTATGGCAAAAAAATTCTAAGTCAAAAACAGAATGATCAGTGAACCAGTCGGGTGGGAATTCACTGAGCCTGAAAACTTTGACATAAAAAGTAGTGTTGTAAGAATGTCTTCCTTGCCACTTGAGCTAACGTAGAATTTTTTAAACAGGTTTCCAATAATTTTTTTGATTTTTGACTGCTAACCGTCTTAGGATACAGACATTAAACATTTTGCGATTAGTAAATTTTGCTCATTGCTATACGATTGTATATTACTTCACTTGTATTCGAGAAATTTTTGTTTGATCTAAGGTAGGGTTGTTACCTTTTAATGCTTACTGATTTCCGACTGTACTTTCTTGAATAAATAAGTTTTATACATTTCGAGTTTGTCCCCGTCTCTCTTAGTCTCCCTCGCAGCCGTTTTTAGTCTCGTCACGCAACGCTCCTCCCCACAAGCGTGACGAGACTAAAAACGGCTGCGAGGGAGACTACCATCTCTCTTGATGCTTGTGGTGGTGAACTGCAAGATAACAGAAATTAACATGTTAAAATACGGATTAAACTTAACTTGCTTACAAAATACAAATAACAAAATACTTAAAAATGAACGAGTTCGCCTTTATAGATGTATTGTTGGCTTTTTCGTCCAAATCTTATTAAGTCCTTCATGTACTGCGATATTGTGATGTCTGTTGTGTTTTTACAACTGTAGAGTGAACATGATTCATTAATTTGTTGGCTCCCAATAACGTGCAAAACACCCATGACTTGATATACGTATAGTAATTGAGACTTAGTTGCGAGAAATTAATGGCAATTGAAGATAATTATAAAATACTTCAGATGATGTCTTCTAACCATGTGCCTTGTTAAATTGAACAAATATTAGAAAGTTAGTTTCAAGTTTCAAGATTATTACTTGCTTGAAATACACAATAAGACGAACAGCGTGCGCAGTTACCCACAGCTTGTCGAGGCGAGAAGTGGTTTATTATAACGTGTAACAGAATATTTTACCAAAATCAAGAAAGACTACAGCAAAAAAGCGATTGTTGATCATGTAACCTACAAAGAACCTAGAGCATCATAAATGCGTGTCAATGTGATAACTTGGAAATACACAAATGTAAACTTTTGCTGGTAACCGTGTTTCGCAGATGAAAAAAAAGTCTGTCAGTTTGGCCGAGACGAAACGTCACGTCATATTGTCTGTGAACTATGTTTCACAGGTGTCTAATTTATTATATAAATGTAATTCATGAAGGTACAGTTGGGAATAAATTTGTCGTACAAGGCCCAATTTTTAACATCTTGAATTTTGCGGGACTATAAGTATGTCCCATAAAGAGTTTTCTCGAAAACTCCGTCAATTTTTTCATTGTTTAAAATATGAAAGATTGTTAATTGCGTCGGCCAAACACAATGCCGTTACGCAACTATAATTGGCCATTGTCCAGATTGAAGAGCTATAATAAAATTAATACTCGAGGTTTTGAAACAGCAACAACTTTCAATAAATCCGAAACTGACTCACATAAAACAAAATTCTGAAATACTCTCAAAAAAATTTAAATTACAAGAGATTTCCACAAAACATTTTGTCTTGGCCAGAGCAAGAAGGAAGGAAAATTTGCAGGAAAATCTTGGGTTAAAAAAATGGGAGCAACTTCATAATACCCGTCCACATCATTTACATATAAAATTAAAAAATGTCTTTCTTTTTTGCTTTGTTCTGTGCTTTTGTTTTGTTTTGTTTATTTTTTTTTTTTTTAACAAAAAGCATTTTTCCAGGGCGCACTGAAAAGATTGCAACATTCGCCAATCATTCTTCTTCGGGGTTCTAAATTTAATAATACCAATTCAGACTGTTTCTAGAGTAGATAAACCCTTATGCAAACTACATTCCGCGAGAATATATGTCCAAGCAGATATGTCAAAACATTTTTATAGACTATTGTTATATACTTTCTCTTTGACACCATCTGATTAAATAATACAGGTTTAATTTGAGTTTGGTTGTCGAATGAGCACTTGCTTTCAGAGTTTGAACGAGCTTTAAAACTCCTAACTTGAGATTCATCTTTATTTTTCCATATCATTATTCCCTTTACTTAAATGCTTAAAAAGAATCTTCATGTCTTGCTCAAATATTTCGTCTGTTTAGCATTGTCCAGAATATTGCTTTGAAAAATGTATGCTTACATCAATATTTTCTAGAGGATAGCAGCCCCATCTACTCATTATAAATCTATTTGATAATGAACAAAGGCTTACCATGGTGACATTCTTTGCTCCCGTTTCCTTTCTACTTTCCTGTGCTATGTTTGTTTGTAAGGAATAAAAAAAAAAACAGTGTTATTTCCTGCTGCTTTGTGGACTGAATCAGGTGTCCGTTTCTCGTAAGTCCAGGTAACTTGACGAGCTCGAAGCCATATTTTAAAATTAAAATTTGAAGATAAGAGAGCTGGAACCGTAACCATAACCATAACGCCTTGTGAAGCGAAAATTTTCGTCTTTACTAAGCCAAATTCTTTAACTGCGTTTTGACAATATTAATTTGAGTATTGAGTTCTTGACCCAGAGCTAGATCTAACACCTTCCCTGAATTATTTCAGCTTCATAAAGCGTGTTGCAGAACAACTTCCAAGTTTAGTTTATTCTCACTCTTACCTTTTGTTATGATGTGTAAAGCTCTAAATCAAGCTGACATTCCGAGTAAAGTCTCCAAGTAAATGTAACTCCTCGCTGCTTTCGGCCACTTTCTGACTTTGGACATGTTTTTCCAGTTCTCTTCACCCTGAGAAGTGAACAGTTTGGACCACGAGGAACCGTAAAATGTAAATGAGCCGAGAGATTTACACGTGCAAATTTAGATGAGAACCACGAAGGTGGTTGGTGTAAATTTGCATAATGAATAACGAGGATATGGAAGAATTTTAACCAGGGCCTCGTAATCGATTTTTCACTAAGTTTACAACATAAATGTTGAGGCACGGGAAAGGGATGGAAGCGCTTACAGGAAAAGGCAGACGTAATCAGATGAAAAAAAATATCATTTTATTTTTGAAAAAGTATTGGGTGTAGTGTCATTTCGCGGCTGTTTTATTCTCAGGCTTTGCAACTTAAAAGAAAAAGAATTTGTGAACTCATAGCCAGTTCAATGTATTGACATGTTTTGACGGGGGAAGAGAGGTGAGATAAACTGTCTTAAAATCAAACTGAAAAAGATGCATCTGAAAATGTGGTGATTATTAAGGGATCTAAGTCATGCTGTGAGTATGCGCACCGGCTTCTTTCAAGTTTTTAACCCATGTCAATTTTTTGCACCAGGGGCCATCGCTCTTCATGAAAACTAAAGAAATGTTAATATTGAAAAGAGTTCAAATCCCAATTTATAAAATTGGAAAGCCTGCTGCTTTTGTTGTTTTAGTCGTCTCACTACGTAACGAGTTTGCTCTCCCGGGCTACAAAATACAGAGAAGCACTCATCATAATCCTTTTATTCTTTCTTAAATCACTATTAAATATAAAATAAATATGTACAGATATTACAGCTATTATGACTTTACCTACAAAACGTGTGTTTTGAACAGTAAAGTAGATTTAAAATTACGCTTGCTAGAAACACGAACGTTAAAATCTATCTCTGGTTCAGTCAGTTAATTATCCTCTAATTCTTTCGTAGATCGATCCCTTTCATAACAAATCCATTTATTATTACATTGTTGTATAAATGGCAGAATTGCTTCAATTCCTGCCGTATATCGGTAGCGCAAATGTAATTTGCAAGACTCTTTAACGCTTGGAGCAATTGTCAACCGAGAGTCAAAAGCAATCTGGGACTGCTTTGGTTTTACTTAACTTTGCTCTGTGATTGGTCCAGAAAAATCGCGCCATCCTCTCAACCAATCAGATGCAAAACTAAAATCAATCGCGACTTGGTCATTCGCGTTTTCCCGCGCTTCAGGCAGTTTGCTTGTTTTCATTTTCAGTTCTCATTGGCTAATAACAATGTAACCTTTGTTCTGATTGGTCGATGGGATACTTTTGGTTTTGGTTTTTCGACAACCAATTGAAAAACTGCTCTTCAAGTATCAGTATTTGATTAAGAAGTCATAATGAAAGGAAACTAAATAAGTATATGATCATAATTCTACGCCGGAGCATTCACTTTTAAACGCGCCCCAGTTACAACGTTTATTTGGAGACCAGCGTTAGTTTTACAACCTCAATAAATGGCAAAAAATATATAATCTGTACGATAAAGGAAAAAACACTAATAGCAAACTTTCTCAAGTCGAATCTGCAGTCTGTAATTTTTTGTTATTGAATTTGAAAAACTCTAACTGAAAGTTCGTTCAGCAAGAATGTGCGGAAAAATTGAACCTTCCTACCCTCAGTGCTTTGATAACCACTATTGATGAACTAAACAAATTAACGCTGGTATCCCGAACAAACGATGCCTTAATGCGCGTGTTTTACGATATGGTTGTTCAATGCCTAATGCAATTCAATCTAACAAAAACTATGTCACTGAACTAGCAGTAGGACAGTAACTGTCCTTTTCACGAAAAAACTAGGCATAAATATATTTAATTTATCAGTACATTTATCAGTACATTTAAACTTGCCCAGTTCACTTTAGAGACTGGGGTCTTGGGAAAGGTCTTGAGACTTTACCTATTTTTATTTGACTTTTTTTCTGTTACCTTTTTAACCAACATCTAACTGCCTAATCTCCCTCTGATATTCCAGCACATTCCCCTGTAAATTTAATAAATAAAACCCTCTAGCTGGGTTCACAGGATAAAGTTGATTCTAGTCAGGGGAAATTAATTGTCAATCATTTCTTGCGTGGGGGAAAGACTAGACGTAACTTCTTAGGACTTTGAGCCCGCAACCGTTACTTTTATGTCACGCCAATCAAAGGCACATTAAAAGATATACGTGTTACGTCACTATTGTCGTCGTCATCTGCTATCCCCAACTCTCCTCTCTTCCCAGTCTTTCGCAGCAGGTGAGAGTAGCGCGGGGTTTGGGTTGGAGTGGAGGAACCGGAGCGATAGATGTGTCTCAGATTTACATCTTCAACCTGGAAGTTCTCTGGCAGCACTTGTGTAGGTCCTGGAGTCACATGGCGTAAGTATCCAAGTTTTTCACGAGGCAGTTTATAATCAGGTGGAGGAATATAAGGCTGAAAGGATATCAAGAAAAAGCAAGTAAAACACTTCAGCCATAGCCATTTATATAAAATAAACTGGAATTAAGCTGGTGGCACTTCCACGGGGTGGCTATTTGTCCCATGTTTTTCACGCTGAAATTGGAATATGGAGCGTTTGGTTTAGTGGAGAAAGGAGAAACAGAAAGTCCCAGAGAATACCCTCGGAGCGAACCGGAGCGCATGAGGACCAAACTCCACCTGCAAGTGAAACCAGGTCCGGGAGTAGGACCCAGGCCACAGAGGTAGGATGGCCACCCTCCCCCTTGGGCCATCCCTTGACTACAATTCTCCCTTCCAGCGGCTAAACATTTTCTTGTCAATCAGTTATGAGAATTCGGTGTTGGATCAAGATTAACTTCTAGTTGACAAGTTTGTTTATCTTCATCACCTTTTTGCTTCAAAATGTGTATGTACAATCTTATCAATAATGTATTCACGATCTTACCAATTCTTGAGGGGGTGCAGAGATTGAGCGCGGTCTGATACGTAAATCCGGTTTGACCGGTCCAGCCTGCTGAGCTACAGCAATTTTTACCAGATCCGCTTGGTTTTGAGGCTCCTTAGGTTTCGGTTTCACGTAGGCAAGTTTTTCTGCGGGTGGAGGTACAGGCCTTTTAGCAGATTCCTGAGGAGCAGGCTTCGGCTTCCATTCATTACTTTTTGTTCTTCTAACGATAGGCTTTGGTTCTGGCGGTTTATCTTGATTTTCGAAGAAATTTCTGCGGAAAATAAAGTGCAAGTTGGAAACTAACCATAAAACTATAACGGCTGATAGTTTCTAAAGAAACTGTTTGGGGCTGCGTCGGTGGGGGTAACGAAATAATTTGGATATATGAACAGAGTTGAAATGGTAAATTGGCCACCGTAACGATTACAAAAGCTGACGTTTCGAGCGTTAGCCCTTCGTCGGAGGGCTAACGAAGGGCTAACGAAGGACTAACNGTTGCAAGGGCTAAGTAAGAAATTTATTAAGCTCTTTGCAATTTTAACTTAACCGAATTCCAAAGCTAGAGTGTGACTATTCAAATGAAGGTTATGGAGCGGTACTTTCAAGTGATTCTGTTTATTTTGCTAAACTAGTAAGTTCTGGTTTAAAAGTCTGAAAATTAAAACCCTGTTCTACGACCGATTTAAATGCAAACTTCTGAGTAGTGCTTTGATTTGGTTTTGTTAAGTATGCTCTACAACGTGGGTCAAACATTTGTTTGGGTGTGGATCTCTTCCCAATATGTGGCTCTTCAAATAGAAAAAAAGTTTTTACACAGTAGTTTTTTGGTTGTAATTTGGATATATCAACAAAGTTGAAATGGTAAATTGGCCACCGTAACGATTACAAAAGCTGACGTTTCGAGCGTTAGCCCTTCGTCGGAGGGCTAACGAAGGGCTAACGAAGGACTAACAAAGGGCTAACGCTCGAAACGTCAGCTTTTGTAATCGTTACGGTGGCCAATTTACCATTTCAACTTTGTTGATATATCCAAATTACAACCAAAAAACTACTGTGTAAAAACTTTTTTTCTATTTGAAGAGCCACATATTGGGAAGAGATCCACACCCAAACAAATGTTTGACCCACGTTGTAGAGCATACTTAACAAAACCAAATCAAAGCACTACTCAGAAGTTTGCATTTAAATCGGTCGTAGAACAGGGTTTTAATTTTCAGACTTTTAAACCAGAACTTACTAGTTTAGCAAAATAAACAGAATCACTTGAAAGTACCGCTCCATAACCTTCATTTGAATAGTCACACTCTAGCTTTGGAATTCGGTTAAGTTAAAATTGCAAAGAGCTTAATAAATTTCTTACTTAGCCCTTGCAACGCGAGGAGTCGGTTTTATTGTTTCTTTAACAGGCTTTTCTTTCCGCTCATCCGTATCAGACGGACTTCTTTCCACGATAGATAACATGTCTCGGATACGACGTCCCTGATCTTCAGAAAAAGAAATAAAAAAAAAATTATTCACTGACGTCCTCAGTGAGTCGGAATCCACCCTTGTGAAAAAAGTTGTTTACCTTTAAAATCCTTCTTTAATCTTTCATCCTGTAATGAGACAACGGAACGATACTTTAATAAGGCGCAGCATGCTTTAAACAGAATGTTTTTAAAAACGATTCAAGGGGGTAAGTTTCTAAAGAAACTGTGGCCCTTCGTCAGAGCGAAGGGCAAACGCTCGAAACGTCAGCGTTGATACTCTTTACGGTGGCCAATTTAGGTTTTCAACTCAGTTGATAAATCCAAAATTACCTTTTTTTAGAACGGTTTCTACCTATCTGTAAATAATTTTCTTTTTACAGTGTGCACTGCGTTCGATCAAAGAATCCTCCGATACAAAATTGAACCAGTCGTGCTTTCCAGCACATTGCCTAGTGAAGTTTTATTAGCACACTATCACAAGCGTGTTCATGTTGTGACTAGTATCCAGACCTGATTGCTTGGGAAGGTGAAGTTCGTACAGCCATTCACAAGTAAAAATTCATAGAATGACAACAACCATACTTCATTTTGTATTTGCGCGCTTAGAGGGCCGGAGTGAGGCGAAAGCTGACTTCGTCTGGCAAGGTTATGCCCAACATTTCTTTCATGTAAACGCTTGGTTGTAACTAATTTTATCTCGACAATTAAGGAATGTAATGGAATAATTGCTGAAGTTGACGAGAAGAAAACTTACCGCGAACTGCCTAAAGTACGTTTCGTCTCCAGCAGACCAAATCTCTTTCCTGTGAAATGAAACAATGCCACTATTATCAACTGACAACAAATGGCGTTTGTTGTACTAAACTAAGTTCATTTCACGGTGGTTGTTGTTTTCGCGCAATAGCTGAAATCTCATTTTCATCAACGCTGCTATAATGGCTGATCTAATAAGTAAATCCCGCTCTAAACAAGCGACGCTATACACGAGCTTTACACGACTCTTACACGAGCGACGCAAATGCAAACGCAACTGCAGGTACAGCTAAAAACGGTGTACACAACCAACAGCGCAGTTGGTCTTCAGCCAAGATGGCGACGTGCTTTCCGCCTAAGCGTTGCACAACCAGAATCAGAATAATCAGTGCGGCTAATTAGACCTTCACATTCTCATCATCATGTGCATCAGTATGCAAATTCTCGATACTGTTCTCTATACATTTCCTAAGGTGCTGACAAGGAGAATTTGTTTAACAATCAAGAGCTTCTTTAGTTGGTGATCATTTCCTTTATTCTTGTGACTTTAACGTTTCATTCGGGGGTTATTTTGTGAGGAGAAATTAGATGGCAGTCACTCTGCGGGGTCGAAGGGTAGAAACAAAGTAAAATATCA